TTAGTCCCAACAGCTTGAGCGAGTCCGTCGTCAACTTATTCAGCCAGTTAGTTAGCTAGAATAGTTAGCAAACTAGCTAGCCATTGCTTTCAGACAAAGAAGAACCCCTCCTTTCACGGCACGAACACACAGAGAGAGCCAAACTAACGTTAACTAGTCACCCATGTCCCGAATTCCTTGAGCGACTCCGGCTATCAATATGTAAAAAACAAAACACAAGTGTAGGTTATGACTTATCCCTAGCAGCTACTGTTAGCTAGCCAAGTGCAAAGCTAGCCACTGAATTGACTCAGCCAGTTCGCGTCTGTTCGCTCGGTCATTCCAGCTATTGTTTACAAGTAGCTATCCAGGTTGCAACAAGCTTGCTAATTTTCAAGCACAGTAGCCACTTGCTACCTAACGTTAACGGTTCAGACAATGAGGTTAGAAAACAGCTGAATGGTAGGCAGTTATTGTATGTAACTATTGTAGGCAGCCAGCTGGCGTAATTACAGGCACTCTCAGGCGTGAAACAACTATACCGTTGCTAATAGCTACTCGCCAGCTAGTCCAGGTGGTGAGTTAGCTAGCTAGCTAGCTTCGTGCTACACCCGGCACCGCCGAATACAATACTAACCTACAATAATTACATACAACAACTACCTACAACAACCCACGATACCTACCTACAATACCTAACTACAATCTAAATACATAGTTTAAGCCTTACTCGACAAAGCCCAAGCTATGTATAAAGCCAAACTTACCCGACGCCAAGCTTACCCTACGACCTCCTCCCAGCAGATCAGATCTCGTATACCCCAAAAAAAAAAAAATAACAAAAAAAAACAACATTAAAAGATAATTAAAATATTTTAAAAAAACCAAAAAGAAATAAAAAATAAAACAAATAAAATAAGGAATTTGAGTGGCCATCAGAAAGGGGCCACTCAGGAGGGGCGATGAACCTGTAGATGGGCCCTCAGGAGTCAGCTCTGTCTCTGGACTGTACAAAACACCACCCCCCTCCAACACCTACAAGCAGATGGCGCATACAGTTGAAGTCGGAAGTTTACATACACCTTAGCCAAATACATTTAAACTCTGTTTTTCACAATTCCTGACATTTAATCCTAGTCAAAATTCCCTGTTTTAGGTCAGTTAGGATCACCACTTTATTTTAAGAATGTGAAATGTCAGAATAATAGTAGAGAGAATTATTTATTTCGTATTTTATTCCCAGTGGGTCAGAAGTTTACATACACTCAATTAGTATTTGGTAGCATTGCCTTCAAATTGTTTAACTTGGGTCAAACATTTTGGGTAGCCTTCCACAAGCTTCCCACAATAAGTTGGGTGACTTTTGGCCCATTCCTCCTGACAGAGCTGCTGTAACTGAATAAGGTTTGTAGGCCTCCTTGCTCGCACACGCTTTTTCAGTTCTGCCCACAAATGTTCTATAGGATTGAGGTCAGGGCTTTGTGATGGCCACTCAAATACATTGACTTTGTTGTCCTTAAGCCATTTTGCCACAACTTTGGAAGTATGCTTGGGGTCATTGTCCATTTGGAAGACCCATTTGCGACCAAGCTTTAACTTCCTGACTGATGTCTTGAGATGTTGCTTCAATATATCCACATAATTTTCCTTCCGCATGATGCCATCTATTTTGTGAAGTGCACCAGTCCCTCCTGCAGCAAAGCACCCCCACAGCATGATGCTGCCACCCCCGTTCTTCACGGTTGGGATGGTGTTCTTCGGCTTGCAAGCCACCCCTTTTTCCTCCAAACATAACGATGGTCATTATGGCCAAACAGTTCTATTTCTGTTTCATCAGACCAGAGGACAAATCTCCAAAAAGTACGATCTTTGTCCCCATGTGCAGTTGCAAACCGTAGTCTGGCTTTTTTATGGCGGTTTTGGAGCAGTGGCTTCTTCCTTGCTGAGCGGCCTTTCAGGTTATGTCGATATAGGACTCGTTTTACTGTGATATGGATACTTTTTTACCTGTTTCCTCCAGCATCTTCACAAGGTCCTTTGCTGTTGTTCTGGGATTCATTTGCACTTTTCGCACCAAAGTACGTTAATCTCTAGGAGACAGAACGCGTCTCCTTCCTGAGCAGTATGACGGCTGCGTGGTCCCATGGTGTTTATACTTGCGTACTATTGTTTGTACAGATGAACGTAGTACCTTCAGGCGTTTGGAAATTGCTCCCAAGGATGAACCAGACTTGTGGAGGTCTACACATTTTTTTCTGAGGTCTTGGCTGATTTCTTTTGATTTTCCCATGATGTCAAGTAAAGAGGCACTGAGTTTGAAGTTAGGCCTTGAAATACATCCACAGGTACACCTCCAATTGACTCAAATTATGTCAATTAGCCTATCAGAAGCTTCTAAAGCCATGACATCATTTTCTGGAATTTTCCAAGCTGTTTAAAGGCACAGTCAACTTAGTGTATGTAAACTTCTGACCCACTGGAATTGTGATACAGTGAATTATAAGGGAAATAATCTATCTGTAAACAATTGTTGGAAAAATGACTTGTGTCATGCACAAAGTAGATGTCCTAACCGACTTGCCAAAACGATAGTTTGTTAAAAAGAAATTTGTGGAGTGGTTGAAAAACTAGTTTTATTGACTCCAACCTAAGTGTATGTAAACTTCCGACTTCAACTGTATATAAAACACAGGAAAATCAAGTTGTTGACTGCACTGGGCCTTTAATGCATGGGTACATTATAGAGTTTGTACACTATTTCATAAACATGATCATAAGCATGCTGTATTTGTTCTAGGTCCCTTATAAATCTACTGTATAGGCTACTCTATGCCATGATGTCCAGTATTAAACATCAGGAACAACTTTTACTTACTGGGGGGACAGAGGTGGACAATGTAACCTTCTCCAACATACAAGGCCCTGTGCTGATAGGTTCCCTTGAATATGTCAATCAGGTCCCCAGGTTGAGGCTTTGTTTGATAATGACAACACAATATCGGACTTTTACATAACAACTGGCAAGTACACTATGCAATCAAGTCTATATTCAATGTTAATTCAGTAATTTTTTATTTACATCTTTGACTAAAGATTACCCCACGAGTATAACAAAACAGCCAAAGCAGGTCTGTAAACAAGTCAAATACACTGCATGTTGTTACTGACTTACCATTATTGGGACAATTTCATTCCTTTGGATCAGATTGTGGCAAAAACATAACATATCACAGAATGTCCAGGTTTGATTTGTTCTTGCATATACTGTACTCTATTTATCCAGCATGTGAAAAAAGTTCATACTTGCAATATGCTCCCCTGTTGATTGAAACAGACATGCAAACCTAAAGGCTACTGTGTGTTGCTTAGGCTACTGCAGCTACAGTGGATCAAGCCGTTAATTTGATTTTCACAGCCTATTTTGGGTAGTAAACACTGATCTCTGACTGTTGGAGTAGTAATTGTGAGTTGTGTTGACCTCTCAAAATATGCATGGCATTCAACTAGAGTTTCCTTGGCCAATGAGATACTGCACATGTAAATGTGTAATGATTAATGAGTGATTGGTGCCCTCTTGGGACTGTCAGATTCCGTTGTTAGATCAGGCTTGGCATTGAAATTATCTAATATGTCTGGAGTAATATGACCCGTTTCTTTTCTGAAACGTCCTTATTGCCTGGTACGGATCGTTGTTACTTTGATTATAAAAAGTAATAACAATCCATACCAGCCAAGAAGGAAGTTTCTAAGATTTAAGAGCTTTAATACAAATGACAAAAGTACATAGAAATTCACAACAATATAAGGATTTTTAAAATTGGTATTGTTAAATATGCCTATATAATGAAAATATTTAGACCTGAATTTGGAAATCAAATACTGTTATTTCAACTATTGGTGTTATACTCACAAAGAGTTTTAAACCTAAAAGCCTTTCTATGCAATTTGTGTCCATAATGTTGCTCTTCATGGTTAGCAGAAGGGATTCAATTGACCTCAATTAAATTGAATTATTAAACAATCTTCATGATAGCACACTCCAAAGTTAGTCAAACTTCAGAAATAGTCTAATGTTGAGTCCATGTCCCATGTCATCTTTCTCATTTCATTTTAGACAGTACCATACCCATCTTTCCCATTCATTTGGTGTGGACTCCTGGGCCACCTTCAGTAGCCAAAGGTTGTCTGACGTTGCAAATAGAAATGCCACGAATAGAGCCGACGTGATTCCTGTTCTATATAGCATATTTATATTTGAACGTTATAAAACGTTGCGTCCTGTTGAACGCGATTCCGCTGTACACGCTTGTCTCGTCAAAATGGACTGATCAATCAATGAATGACTTGCAGCAAAGTGGAGTACATTCAATATCGGAAAAGTACGCAACGGCTCACAGAAAGCACAATGTTTATTACTATACCATCCCATTACCAATTAAAATTAAGGCAATAACAGGAGTTCGTCTAAAACGAAAATGTGCTAATACGTTTACAAGGTTGGGTCTGACTGTCCCCCAAATAACACATTTTGTTGCTTACAAAGGCATCTGTACCAAATATATTTATAACTAACTATAGTAAATCTGTGTATTTTACAGTGGGAGCAAATGAAGCATATTGGGCAGAACAAGCAAGGAGGTATGCAAAGCCAAGCACGAGCTAGCCATTATGGAACACCTCTGTGAAGTGCGCGTGTGCACAAACTAAATTCGACCTTGCACTCCTTCTTAACAACGCCATTTTAAAAAAACTTTGGCCCAGTTTCACCTAGTTTCATAGTTTTATATTAGACCTGTGATGGACTTGAAGGCTTTTATTGAAGGCTTCCACTTTTAGTCTTGTACTCGCCTGCTGAATTTGATAATTGTCTCAAAGGTTTTCTAAAAGGCACTTGGGTGTACTGAACTGATCTCTGTTTTACCTCTTCTTTCGTTTCTTTCGTTTCTCTCTCACTCTCCTCTCTCCTGTTTCTCACCATATCCTCCAGTATTTCCCAGAAAATAAGTAGCACAGTCGGTAGCATGTGGGATAAGATCAATAACATTTTCTCTAGGTAACTGGTCTTAGATTGCCTGTTGATGTAATGTTTGTGTGAGACAGATGAGTTGAACTACTGAAATAGCTAATCATATGGATGTAATGTCTTATAGTAGAAATGTCACAAATCAGAAATTAAGTGAACAGATTTCTCCATATGTCTGTACAGCCTCTACTACTCACTGTAGTATACAGTACATATATTAACCAAGCTCCCCACCACCCTCTAAACCAGTGGTATTCAAAGTCGGGGGGAATTGCAGTGGGGTCGCCAATATATATATATATTTTTGTAAATAATAAATTAAGAGTAAAGACTACAGATTATTATATGGCACTTAATACAAACATTTATGAGAAAGATAATTTTGAAAATAACATTTTATTGAGTAAATGTATTTATTGGTTCTCGTAATTTTTTAAATAAGAGAGATAAAAATGTAATGAATTGAACGTTATTTGTTGATGTAAAAATATAAATTTACCGATTTTAATGTTGTGTCTTTAGATTTGGGGTGGGGTCCGAAGAAAGTCTGGCAGAAAATATTGGGTCCCCGCTGAAAAAGTTTGAATACCACTGCTCTAAACTAAACAAACATTCTAGCTTGTCATCTTTTATTGTTTAGTGAATGGATTTGATTGGTTTGCCATTGACAATAATGATAAAAAAATATATTAAAAAATCTTCCCATTATTGTCTTGCAAAGTTGATACATTTGGGCATACCTGTACCCATTATCAACTAATATTCTATGGACCAAATCCCACATTAACATCATTGTCTCCCGAGTGGCGCAGTGGTCTAAGGCTGTGTCACTAGAGATCCTGGTTCGAATCCTGGCTCTTTCGTAGCCGGCAGGGATGTAGCTCAGTTGGTAGAGCATGGTGTTTGCAACGCCAGGGTTGTGGGTTCGATTCCCACGGGGGCCAGTATGAAAAAATAAATAAAATGTATGCACTAACTGTAAGTCGCTCTGGATAAGAGCGTCTGCTAAAATGTAATTGCATACATAAGGAAGGGGTCAACCTATATGTCAACAAGATGTCAGTACATAATGCATGTTTAACTCGATGACAATTATCAAATTGAAAGAGTTTATACAAGATGTCATTCCAGGTGATGAGATCCAGTTTGTGTTCCCCTGAAATTGATATGTATTATTGTGTAATGCAGCAAAACCCAACCAGACACAGAGGAAGCTGGGGAGAAAGAGGACACAGAGAATCACGATGGGGAAAAGGTGTGTGATGTTCTATTGAAACACCTCATTGTTCTCTCAAACACTGCATGGATTTATTGGCTCATTTATAGCTCCCATTCTGTCCATTCTGTGTTCAAAGTGTGTAAAGATAAGAGGTGGAGATTAGTAGAGTGAGAGATGAGCTCTAACTTCTGGAATTAGTTTGATGTGAACTTTGAACTTAAACTAGTTTGTGCATGAGAAGCAATTTTCTCAGACACTTGAGCTACACCTTTCATCCTTGTATCTCTCTTCCTTGTCCGGTTCTCCACCCGCCCCTTCTCACTTCCCAGGTGTCAGAAGGAGAGGAGGAGGAAAAAGAGGTGGATCAGCCAGGAATGTGGGAGGAGATGTTCAAATCCCATGCTGACACCAAGCCTAATGGTACACCAAGTCCATTCATTTGTTTTCACCCACCATTTCCTCTAATTGACGTCATGTGTAAAATTCCTGACTGCTGTGGTGTAACCTGCCTCCTGTCCTCTAGGTCCCTCCTCCATCAGTCTGGACTTCTCCCTGCCTGGAGTAGAACATGTCTACGGCATCCCTGAACACGCAGACTGCCTCAGACTGAAAAACACAGAGTGAGCCTTGCCCCAATGTCATTTGTGCTCAGCTCTCTGTTAAACTTACCCCACCAAGTTGCAGTGTAGTTTTCTGATTATTTAGTTGGTCATCCACTGCTAACATGGATTTCTGTTCCTTCCCCCAGTGGAGGAGACCCCTACAGGCTGTATCACCTGGATGTGTTCCAATATGAGCTCTTTAACCCAATGGCTCTGTACGGAGCAGTGCCTGTCCTCCTCTCACACAACACCCACAAGACTATGGGTCTCTTCTGGCTCAACGCAGCCGAGACATGGGTGGACATCAGCTCTGGACAGGCGGGTGTGTATGAATGGATGGATCTCACACCGGATATTTCTTTCTTTGCCATTTGATTCACTTCAGTTTGATATCTAAATCCTGTTTGTACTTTTTGATGTTGGATTGCGTTCAGAGCTCCAGTGAGGTCCCTCAGACAGATCTCTGAGAGCGGCATCATTGACGTCTTCATGATGCTGGGACCATGATCTACTGATGTGTTCACACAGTACGCTTCATTAACAGGTACACAGGTCTGGTACAATACTTACACACTCACTAGGAGGAGCACAGGTATGCGTCACTCACAGTATATTGTGCACATTTACGTCAAGCACATGTTCATGCTCGATACATCTTCGTTTTATAGCTTCACTGCTCACTATCCCAGAAGTGGTACCTTTGCTTTAGAAATGACCCTTTTGTTCTCTGGCTGTTGTAGGCACTCAGTCCTTCCCCCCTATCTCTTCGCTGGCCTACCACCAGTGCCACTGGAACTACAACGACCAGGAGGATGTGAGTGCGGTGGACCAGGGCTTCGATGAACACGACATTCCCTATGACTTCATCTGGCTGGATATTGAGCACACGGACGGCAAGCGGTACTTCACCTGGGACAACAACAAGTTCCCAAAGCCCAAAGACATGCTGCAGGGCCTCCTGGATAAGAGACACAAGGTGAACTTAATGATGAAAAAATATATATTTTTAAAATGGTGTGTGTGGTAATGAGAAAATCATTTACATTTGGAACTCTTCACTCTCCCTCCTCATCTCATTGCGCCCTCTCTCCTGTCCTGTCTGTCTACAGATGGTGATCATAGTGGACCCTCACATTAAGGTGGACAGAAGCTATAAGATCCACACTGAGATTCATTCTAGAGGCTACTACACCAAAAACAAAGATGGCGGAGACTATGAGGGCTGGTGCTGGCCAGGTAGGCACATGTCAATAGTATTTATCTTGACCAATTCGGAAACCTACCAGACAACATAGTATAAGATTGACTGTCTTCTACTGACGGTCTTATACTGACTGACTTATAGCGACTCTCTTCTAGTGACTGTCTTACAGTGACTGTCTTCTACTGACTGTCTTCTACTGACTGTCTTCTACTGACTGACTTATAGTAACTGACTGTCTTCTACTGACTGACTGGCTTATAGTGATTGGCTTATAGTGACTGACTTATAGTGACTGAATTATATTGACTGACTTCTACTGACTGACTGTCTTATAGTGACTGTCTTCTACTGAGCCAGTCACCTAAAGGCTGGTAATTGTTTAGAAATGTGTTATGTACATGTACTTGAGATTTACTTTTTTTTGCTTTTTGTTAAAAGGGAATGCAGGTTACCCAGATTTGACCAATCCTGAGATGAGGACCTGGTGGGCCAGCATGTTTACCTATGGCCAGTATGAGGTGACTAAACCCGTAATCAGTTTGTCTCATCTCTTTTCACCTCCACATTTGACCCAGTTCTTTTTGCTTTTCATTCTTCTTTCTTCATGTCCTCAGGAAACTCAGGAAACTATTAGCATTGATTCCACTGGTTAACCAGTGAAGCTACTGAAGCCTTGAGCTACCGCTTCATCCCCAGATGCACTGACATGTCTTTTTCTCCCATCGCTCCTCTGGCCAGGGGTCGTTCCACGTGTACAGAGAACCTGTACACGTGGAACAACATGAGCGAGCCGTCTGTGTTTAACGGGCCAGAGGTCACCATGCACAAGGACGCCCTCCACGGGCCCTGGGAGCACAGAGACGTCCACAACCTCTACGGCTTCTACGTGGTGAGGCAGGGAAGGAGGGGTGTTACTAGGACTATCTAGCCCGGGGGTGTCCACACTGTTGGGATTGTTTTGGATTAGTTACAGCATCCTCACTCACTCATTCACTGTCATCTACTCTCTTCTTTCCCTCTCTCAGCAAATAGCGACAGCAGAGGGGCAGATCCAGCGCTCTGGGGGATTGGAGAGGCCTTTTGTCCTGACCATGGCCTTCTTCGCTGGGTCTCAGCGCTACGGTTAGACCCAATACGCCTCCCTCTGGTTCCTGGAAATGTTGTTTTGTTGTATACAGTCGTGGTCAAAAGTTTTGAGAATGACACAAATACTAATTTTCACAAAGTATGCTGCCTCAGTTTTGATGATGGCAATTTGCATATACTCCAGAATGTCATGAAGAGTGATCAGATTAATTGCAATTAATGGCAAAGTCCATCTTTGCCATGAAAATGAACTTAATCCCCAAAATACATTTCCACTGCATTTCAGCCCTGCCACAAAAGGACCAGCTGCCATCATGTCAGTGATTCTCTCATTAACACAGGTGAGAGTGTTGACGAGGACAAGGCTGGAGATCACTGTCATGCTGATTGAGTTAGAATAACAGACTGAAGCTTTAAAAGGAGGGTGGTGCTTGAAATCATTGTTCTTCCTCTGTTAACCATGGTTACCTGCAAGGAAACATGTGCCATCATCATTGCTTTGCACAAAAAGGGCTTCACAGGCAAGGATATTGCTGCTAGTAAAATTGCACCTAAATCAACCATTTATCGGATCATCAAGAACTTCAAGGAGAGAGGTTCAATTGTTGTGAATAAGGCGTCAGGGCGCCCAAGAAAGTCCAGCAAGCGCCAGGACCGTCTCCTAAAGTTGATTCAGCTGTGGGATCGGGGCACCACCAGTGCAGAGCCTGCTCAGGAATGGCAGCAGGCAGGTGTGAGTGCATCTGCACGCACAGTGAGGCGAAGACTTTTGGAGGATGGCCTGGTGTGAAGAAGGTCAGCAAAGAAGCCACTTCTCTCCAGGAAAACATCAGGGACAGACTGAGATTCTGCAAAAGGTACAGGGATTGGACTGCTGAGGACTGGGGTAAAGTCATTTTCTCTGATGAATCCCCTTTCCGATTGTTTGGGGCATCCGGAAAACACCTTGTCCGGAAAAGACAAGGTGAGCGCTACCATCAGTCCTGTGTCATGCCAACAGTAAAGCATCCTGAGACCATTCATGTGTGGGGTTGCTTCTCAGCCAAGGGAGTGGGCTCACTCACAATTTAGCCTAAGAACACAGCCATGAATAAAGAATGGTACCAATAAATCCTCAGAGAGCAACTATCCAAGAACAGTTTGGTGACGACCAATGCATTTTCCAGCATGATGGCGCACCTTGCCATAAGGCAAAAGTGATAACTAAGTGGCTCGGGAACAAAACATCGAAATGTTGGGTCCATGGCCAGGAAACTCCCCAGACCTTAATCCCATTGAGAACTTGTGGTCGATCCTCAAGAGGCGGGTGGACAAACAAAACCCCACAAATTCTGACAAACTCCAAGCATTGATTATGCAAGAATGGGCTGCCATCAGTCAGGATGTGGCCCAGAAGTTAATTGACAGCATGCCAGGGCGGATTGCAGAGGTCTTGAAAACGAAGGGTCAACACTGCAAATATTGACTCTTTGCATAAACTTAATGTAATTGTCAATAAAAGCCATTGACACATATGGAATGCTTGTAATTATATTTCAGTATACCATAGTAACATCTGACAAAAATATCTCATAACACTGAAGCAGCGAACTTTGTGAAGACCAATACTTGTGTCATTCTCAAAACTCACACACGTTCATCCACTCTCCTCCAGGTGCAGTGTGGACGGGAGACAATGCAGCAGAGTGGGGTCACCTTAAGATATCCATCCCCATGTGTCTCAGCCTGGGCCTGGTGGGCATTTCCTTCTGTGGAGGTGAGGCTGGCTGGGATTGGTGCTGCACAGATCGGATGGATCGGTCTGTCTTTGTTTGATGGTAATACTTAAAGGATCCTAATCCTTCTCTCTCATCCCAGCTGACGTGGGGGGTTTCTTTAAAACTCCCAGTGCGGAGCTGCTGGTGCGTTGGTACCAGGCGGGGGCCTACCAGCCCTTCTTCCGTGCCCACGCCCACCTGGACACCCCGCGGAGGGAGCCCTGGCTTTTTGGCCCTGACAACACGGCTCTGATCCGAGAGGCTGTCCATCAGCGCTATGCCCTGCTGCCTTACTGGTACCTCCAGTTCTACCACGCCCAACGCACCGGCCAGCCCGTCATGAGGTAGGCTTATCAAGCCCCATGTCTGTTTCGAAAGTCTATAGCTGGCACTATTAGAGACAATCCTTGTATTTTGATTCACCTTGGGTTGTATTCCCTCCCTCTCTGTACTATAGGCCCCTGTGGGTGGAATATCCAGAGGATATTGCCACATTCTCCATTGATGATGAGTTCCTGATTGGTAAGTAGGTTAGGAAAGTGGCCTTTAGACCAGTATCTAGTTCTTAACCTTTTCCATTATGGTACAATACTTTTGAATACTTAAATGTTTGGAAGAACTTGAGCTCTTCAACCTGGTGAGGATGATGCATAACCGCAGACTAGCTCTCCCCGTGTGTGTTCATCAGGCAGAGATCTTCTGGTCCACCCTGTAACAGATGAGAGGTCTAGTGCGGTCACAGCCTACTTACCTGGGAATTGAGTGGTGTGTGAGGATGGAGAGAGCTGACCTGGAGTTTTGCCAGTTGGAATATACAGTTGAAGTCGGAAGTTTACATACACTTAGGATGGAGTCATTAAATCTTGTTTTTCAACCACTCCACAAATTTCTTGTTAACAAACTATAGTTTTGGCAAGTCGACTAAGACATCTACTTTGTGCATGACACAAGTAATTTTTCCAACAATTGTTTACAGATAGATTATTTCACTTATAATTCACTGTATCACAATTCCAGTGGGTCAGAAGTTTACATACACTAAGTTGACTGTGCCTTTAAACAGCTTGGAAAATTCCAGAAAATGATGTCATGGCTTTAGAAGCTTCTGATAGGCTAATTGACATTTGAGTCAATTGGAGGTGTACCTGTGGATGTATTTCAAGGCCTACCTTCAAACTCACTGCCTCTTTGCTTGACATCATGGGAAAATCAAAAGAAATCAGCCAAGACCTCAGAATAAAAATTGCCATCACAAAGCCCTGACCTCAATCCTATAGAAAATGTGTGGGCAGAACTGAAAAAGCGTGTGTGAGCAAGGAGGCCTACAAACCTGACTCAGTTACACCAGTTCTGTCAGGAGGAATGGGCCAAAATTCACCCAACTTATTGTGGGAAGCTTGTGGAAGGCTACCCGAAACGTTTGACCCGAGTTAAACAATTTAAAGGCAATGCTACCAAATACTAATTCAGTGTATGTAAACTTCTGACCCACAGGGAATTTTTACTAGGATTAAATGTCAGGAATTGTGAAAAACTGAGTTTAAATGTATTTGGCTAAGGTGTATGTAAACTTCCGACTTCAACTGTACTACATGTTCAATCAACCTGGTTCCTTCTAGCCCTCATGCTTCTCTTCCCGTCACAGGTCTGGTATGACGTCCACACGTTCCAGAGACATGGCGGCGCTCAGAACCTCTATATCCCTGTCACCATGAGCTCAGTAAGTCCTATGTTGTCAGTGTTAACATGGATCCACTGACTGTGTTCTGGATGTGTTTCTACCTATGCTCCGTAGCCAAAACCAATTTTTTATTTTACCTTTATTTAACTAGGCAAGTCAGTTAAGAACAAATTCTTATTTACCATGACGGCCTACACCGGCCTAACCCGCACGCTGGGCCAATTGTGCGCCGCCCTATGGGACTCCCAATCACAGCCGGTTGTGATACAGCCTGGAATCGAACCAGGGGGTCTGTAGTGATGCCTCAAGCACTGAGATGTAGTGCCTTAGACCGCTGCGCCACTCGGGAGCCCTCAGCACTTTGCCCACAAATAACCATCAGTTATCTCTCCCTCTCATCTTCTCTGTTATACCTCCTTTTCCCCTCATAGATTCCAGTGTTCCAGCGAGGAGGTTCCATTATCTGCCGGAAGAACCGTGTTCGCAGGTCCTCATCCTGCATGGAAAATGATCCCTACACCCTCTATGTGGCCCTTGACCCAGAAGTAAAACCTGTTTTCCTCATTTTACCGGCTAAGCTTACTTTACACCACAACAATATTACTACCATTGTTGCACCTGCAGAGGCTTTGTCATCATTTAAATGTTTCTCTTTGTTCCAGGGCAATGCAGAAGGCGAGTTCTACATAGATGATGGTCACACCTTTAAACATGAGACAGACAAGCAGTTCATCCACAGACGCCTGAGTTTAACTGCAAACACCCTCTCAGCCAGGTCTGTCCCTCCCCTAACTATCATCCTTCCAACCAGGCCCTGTTCTCCCTGTGTTTCTGTATCAAGTGCAACCTGTCTGTTGCTACAGTGACCTGTCTCCGGACTCCCGGTTTTCCACGGCCTCCTGGGTAGAGAAAGTGATCATCCTGGGAGCTCAGAAGCCCGATGCTGTCACCCTCACAATGACAGGTTAGTCATGTACCGTCAATAACCAGGCAACATAATGTAATGTAGAGCCAGGAGTTTCCCCTTAATTGTCTGGTGTAATCTGGAAAGATAATACAAAAGAATACTTGTTGCAGTGAAGTTATTGTTCTGTTGGCAGACTAGTGCAAAAAGTGGTAAGGGTTGTGAAGGTGGTACATTATATTTTGTTAACAATGTGCCTGATGTTCTTCAACCATCCTCCACAGATGGTGGGGAGTCTTCTGTGGAGTTTGAGTTTGACCCGGACACGGCGGTCTTAACTCTTCGTAAGCCAGGCTTGAACACAGGGGTCAACTGGACATTACAGGTGCAGTAACACAGGACACTCATATTGAAGTCAGGAGTCAAATGCAAAATGTCACACATAGACTTTTGGCCAAACAAGTAATCATACGACAAAAAAAAAGCACCCAGATTCAAAAGTGTGGATTTGGAGCAGTCCCCTGAACCAACCCTGACAAAGGAAACAGAGGAGAAATGGATCAGGGTTTTTAGAAGAGTATGAAACTCAGGACCACGAATCTTGTTGGATGAGAAAAATTCTGCACCTCTATCAAAAAAGGCTGGATTTTAGATACTAATCTTAATTGTTTCAGGGTTTAACAATTAACTGATGAAGATAATGATTATCCAATTGTAGTGTTTTTACATGGGCCAGCAATGTGAATAGACATGTATGCACTGAGAAGAGATTACCTTTTGGGCATTATGAAATAGATCCTCACTTGATCTCAGGCTGGTTTCAAAGACCAGGGAACATAAAAGCTTCATTAGATATGCACTTACATGTAGATGCAGTCTGGCAACTTTTGTTATCACAGCTAGCATCATTGAAAATTCTAATGTCAGTAGCTAAGGATGTTGGTTTGAGAAACCAATGATTGAACAAATTCTTCAAAATGGCTTTATATTTGATTTTCTTACATGCAAGTTTTGTTGGAGGAGGGGGTTGATTTAACAAAAAAAGTTATTTTAATTGAGGGTTGATTGTCAGCAATAAACCAACTACATTCCCATTGACTTCAGTTTGTTTATTACAAAGTTATTATAAATGTAGGCTATAAAGTTCATAAATACACCATGTCTTAGCATAAACATTTTTTTTGGTTTCAAGGCATTTTCATTTTCAACGTTTTGTTGTCTATGTCATGACAAAATACTGACAGTATCATAGCTCTTTGAGAGGTGATACCATATAACAGTTTTCCTCCATAAGTATGGTCACAGCTTTTGATCACTCTAAAATGTGCGGTTTTGTCACACAACACAATGCCACAGATGTCTCAAGTTTTGAGGGAGCGTGCAATTGGCATGCTGACTGCAGGAATGTTCCAACAGAGCTGTTGCCAGAGAATTGGATGTTCAGTTCTTTACCATAAGCCGCCTCCGACATTATTTTAGAGAATTTGGCAGTACATACGACCGGCCTCACAACCGCAGACCACATGTAACCACGCCAGCCCAGGACCTCCACATCCGGCTTCTTGACCTGTGGGATTGTCTATACAATATTTGACTAAAACATAATCATTTCAAACCTTGATTACATATGGGGACATTGCCCTGCGCAGGGTGCCGTCTTTTGGATGGGACATTAAAACAGGTGTCCTGACTCTGTGGTCATTCAAAATCCAATGGCACTTATTGTAAGAGTAGGGGTGTTCACCCCGGTGTCATGGCTAAATTCCCAACCTGATCACATTCCATCATGGCCACCTAATCATCCCCCTCATTCCTAATTGGCATATATCACTCCTCAGCTCTCCACCTGATAGCTGATGTGGGGTGAGCGTTATGGCACAAAATGGTCACCGTGCATCACTGAGGTGGGTGCTACACATTGGCAGTGGATGAGGTGAGTTTCCCCCTACCTTAGTTGGTAGAACAGCGCTATATAAATCCAATCAATTATTAGTATACGATCAAATATGTCTCTTATGCGTGAGAATATTTGGGAACAGATTTCCAAAATTAAAATCTCTTGGAGCTGATTTCCTGGTGTTTTTACAGTTTTATGTACAACAATAAAAATCCCCCCCTTCCCCCAAAAAAATATTTTTATTTGTATTATTTTTCTCAGAGAACTTGGGGGGGCAAATAAATCCATGGGCCGCCAGGTTGGGGAAACCCTGCCCTAGAACATATGCATATACCCCTAGTCGTGTACGGACACAGCAAAGGGTCAATATGGACCGAACTGCACCAAACGATATCGAAGTCAGTAAATTAATTTCAGACAGCTTTCAAACATGATCGACCGGGCGCCGTTTCCCAAGCGCAGCGCAGCCTCTCTCTGTCTAGCAATAGGCTCTATGCACGCATCACTTCCGCATTGGCGTAAGGATGCTTGGGCATTTCCGGTTACCGGAAAAAAACATTAGACAGTGACAGTAGACCGTTATGATGGCAGAGATGAAGTTTACAAGGTGTTTGCTGGAGTTGCCTAAAGTATCTGTTAATGATATACGGAGGGTCGTCCGGACATCCAGTACGACACCACGTAGCAAACTGGATAAAGGCTTCACATTTTACGTTTCTTCTTTTCTTTGCAACTTTGAAGGTAATATGCTAACGCTAGCTAGCCTGAGCTAGAAGCCTTGCTTGGTGTTTTAAGTCATGACTCCGTCCTGCTTCAGGTTAATCATGCTTTAAATAAAGTTTAATCATGTGTATATACCTCTCACTTCGTGTGTTTGTACTTTTATGAAAGTATCAGGTAAAAACAGGGCTACAAATGAGATCTCTGTGAGAGCCCACTGCTACCGCTCAATGAAGAAACTAAAGCCACCACACCAGCTGAGAGTAGGACTAGATTAAGTGACACGTTCAAAGTTCTGTTGAACTTGTTCAAGGTTCCGTTCAACACATGTTTTACTCGTTTAATGTTACCACAGCTTTGATTGCCATTGCTAAGAGAACATTTTATAACTTTAGTGGTTTTCACGATAGCTGAACAGTGGTAGCCTAATACAGACCAGGGTAGCTGAGTGGGAATTGCCATGCTTTGTTGTTGGGTCTGTTGTAAACAAATTTGAGTTTGGTTTGAAATGTAAACAATAATGAAATTACTACTTTTTCCTGACTTGATGACTGCAATGACAGTAACATATTGACTGGAACGAATTGCAAAAATCTCTGAAGCTGGAGACTCTTATCTCCCTCACTAACTTTAAGCATCAGTTGTCAGAGCACCTTACCGATCACTGCACCTGTACACAGCCCATCTGAAATTAGCCCACCCAACTACCTCATCCCCATATCGTTATTTATTTTGCTCATTTGCACCCCGGTATCTCTATTTGCACATCATCTCTTGCACTTCTATCATTCCAGTGTTAATACTAATTGTAATTATTTAAAAAATTATTTTGCCTATTTATTGCCTTACCTCCATAACTTGCTACATTTGCACACACTGTATATATACTTTCTGTTGTATTTTTGACTTTATGTTTTGTTTTACCCCATATGTAACTCTGTGTTGTAGTTTTTATCGCACTGCTTTGCTTTATCTTGGCCAGGTCGCAGTTGTAAATGAGAACTTGTTCTCAACTGGCTTACCTGGTTAAATAAAGGTGAAAAATAATAATAATAATAATAATAATAATATTCCACTCAGCTATTCTTCAAACTGCTGATGTTCTACTCAAAACTGTCCTGTCATCTTTACTTATTTCTTTATAAACATATGGCCCAACTTCCTTGCTTTTGTACTTGCTGTTTCTACTTTTCAAGAGGAATTAGGAGCAAAACCTTCACTATACTGTTGTTATTGGTACTAGGCTACAATGTTGCACCATTCACCTACTGCTCTGCCAATACTGTTTGAAGGTAGGTAAATGGCACAAGACAATAACCAAGTGGTGCAAGACAGTAGGAAAGTGATGCAGAAAGCACAAAAGTGACACGAGACAGTAGATAAGTTGCTTACACCAGTAAAAAGTAGAAATAACAAGTTTTGCTCCTACTCCTGCTGCTGTAGACCCTCGTCTTTCAAAACCCATTAAATTATGCTTCTGTGTATTTCATATGACATTGCGTGATTCACAGCCAGTTGTGCTTGTTAAAAGCTACTGTTCCTGTGTGGCTGGGTGTGGGATATGCAATCATTTGGTTGCATTACTATATCAGACTGCCCATTACTCTGAATGTGGCATGTCTGTCGTCCCTCCTGTACTTTCGTGCACTGAAACAGAGCAGAAGTGGCATAAACCACGAACAATGGTTTGTATCATTTCAGTACCAGACAGTTGTATCACATGCATACTAGCATCTCTCCTAATACCATCTCATAAATAAATAGGGAGTGAAGCCAGGACCTGTGGATGCCATGGTTGTAGTGAAGCCCAAACCAGATGCTACTCCGGCAAGCGGAATTAGGTATACCGAGTTCAATTAAATAGGCAGACTACAATGTGTTGCGAAATAAATGTTATTAATCGCTGTTAGATTCTGGTGTATTTCCTAGTGAACCCTTTACTTTTCCTGATATTGTTATTCCAGATCTACACTTTACAAGGGCTACAGCGGTGAGCTACCAGACCCAATCAACAGCTCCCTTCTTCAGACGTCTGCGCCCAGCTGGAGTCGGAGGCTCTATCACATCTTCACTTAGAAAGTGTCGGCTGCAGACTCGTGTGTTTGTTGTAAGAAAGTTGACTCGTCTAATGTTAATCACCCACCGTTTATGTAATTCACTGTCTTTGGGAAAAGTAAAAAAACTAACAGAAGAATTGCATCTGGCACACAGCAGTGATGGCTGGAAGAACTGTCATCCCGTTTTTGAAAGGACACTTTCGTACGTTTACACGGCATCGTGTTATAAGTCAAGACGAAGTATTACAAGTAAAAACATTAACATAAACATTAACATAAACAACAACAACGACGAAAATTAACCGTTTCGGATGTTTTTGACGACAAGCATTCAATGCTAGCATACGGTAGCACAGCATTCTACGATACCCGGAAGTTTACATCCATCCTGAGATTTAACCGGAAATACGTCATGCTCGCCTGTGCATATCGCCTATAGAAAAGAAACACCAGCCTGGGGCCGCGTCCTATCCAATGGCGTGCATTTATGCAAATTAGACTTATGGAGAGCCGCGTCTCATCGAATAAATATATGCAAATATCTTCAACAGTGAAAGACGGTGTTGGGACTGGGAGCAAGCCGACACACAAATACGTCCATCGATAGACATTGTGAATGTGAGGATGGCTTGTTCAAAGAAAATAAAAGTTGATAGCGAAAGTCGCATTTTCAAAGACGAGTGGACAGACAAGTAGGCATTAATTCTCCCAGCAACAAGTTGAAAACCAATGTGCCTGATATGCTCAGAGTCCATAGCGCTCGTGAAAAGTGCCAATGTGAAGCGTCACTGACACAAAACACAGTCATTTCGAGCAAACGTATCCCCAAAACACAAAGGTGAGAACGAGAAAAATAAATCAGCTCAAAGCCCAATATGCGAGGTCGACCAAAGTTCTTGTGCATTCCCTGACAGTCCAAGAACGTTCAATGGAGTGCTCACTGAGAATAGCTTGGGTTTAGGGAAAACGCAAAAAGCCATTTACTGACGCAGAGATGGTTAAAGAATGCATGAGGGAAGTTGCTGAGACCTTGC